GAATATTCCATTTTTTAACGCGTCGCTTTTAAAGTAAGAAATCGATACCAAAGTTTTAATAAGAATCGGTTTTAACGTAAATACAAAATGTTTTTTTTTCCTGCGGTGTATCGATTAATCTGTGATACTTTCGTCAACTTATACTTTCTTGTGCTAGCAATGGCCGCCGCTTTACATCGATAAATATTAATTCTACTGATATTTTATTCATATCGATAGACATCAGCCCATAAAGGAAAACGCGCGCTTGTCGGTTTCGCAGTAAATACGAACACGGTGCGCGGTGTAGGTGATTGGCGACAGCCTATTATGTCACAACTTCTCGTTGTGGTGGCAAGGTAGATAGAGTCGGGCCGTGAACCCAAGAACAGCCGGCGGCACGTTGCACAGGCGCACGTGACTGGTTCTCTCCTCGCAGGTTTTCCCTGGCATCACTCGCCGCCTTCTCGCCAACTTTTCAGCCGAGATAAATGCGCTCTCTCTCTCTCTCTCTCTCTCTCTCTCTCATTTCTGCGTAATTATATTATTTTTATTCTTCTATTCTTGTATATCTCTTCAGTTCTACCTTTTAAGCTCTTAATCTTTACATCTACGAATTTATTCTAATTTTTGTAACAATCGCGCATATGTTTTCAGAATCGCCTGATATGTATAGTATTTATAAGTTGTATCTTTAGAGGGCTTGCCCTAGGATATTAATAAAGCTTCTCTCTCTCTCTCTCACACAAATTTGAAAACATTTTTTTTAAATTGACATTTTTGAAATTACACTGTTACATTCATAATGGCAAATTACATTCAATTAGTTATTTTTAATAATTTCTATAAACCGCCACTGAATACGTCGCTAATTTAATTAAAACATTAATATGAAGTTAAACCATTTAACTTAAAAAGTGAATTAAATTTGATTCAAATTTAATTTATTATTTGCACTAAATGCACACATTAATATGAACGTTAAAATTGACTTCGGAAATAGATTGATTTATATTTGACACAAATAAAAATTAAAAAAAATAAAATAAAATATTATTTAACTCAAGGGATTAGATTACAATTGCTCCTTTATTATCTAAGAACGTAGATAGATAAAACGTTTATTAGACATTTTAGAGAAGCCCTCTAAGAATCTAAAATGAAAAGTACAGGCAACAAAAAACAGAGAGTATCAGACTTTAATCTATTGAAAACACGTAATACACCTACATCGTGTATAACCGGTTTTCAATACGTTAAAATCTTATATCTCCGTTTTTTGATAATATAGTAATAGTAACCAGTAGGACTAATCAGTCTTTATATGTCTGAACTTAGTCAAAGAGTCACCTAGATCTAAAGAGTTTCTCTGCGACTTCCGCTAAGTCAGAAACGGATTATCAAATTTTCCGTATATAGAGGATGCAGGATTCGAACTCGCGATTTGTTGATTACGAATCCGTCGCTCTTACACGGAGCGACACGACATCCCTGTTTCTGTTGTCTTACTTTTCATTACTTTTCTTTGTGTCTTGTGCTAGAACTTCTCTCTCTCTCTCTCTCTCTCTCTCTCTCTCTCCTTTTCTCGCGACAACTCCCGTGGGGAACACGCCCGATCCCGACACTTTTACGCCATTGTATTAGATTCCCGCCGCGTCTCGGACCACCTGCAGACAAGTAGCCGCTCGGTTCCCATGTTTATCTCTCGGATGCAAAATAGCAATCTCTTGCACCGTTATGCACGCTCATCTAGAGTAATATAATCGGAGCAACGCGGAAAGATGATATTACTTTCAGTGCTCTCAGATTATTTATTTTCAATTATTATATGATCATTTTGGGAGAAGAGGAACGAAAGGGAGTAATATTATTTTTATACATTATTTTTAAATTAATATTTCTTTAAATTAATACTTTCTCGTTCACACAAAATTTTTTAATATTAAAATTAATATTTTTTTTGTTGCGAAACTTTTTAATTTAGGGTTGCCATAAAACTGGAAATTAGAGTAAAGTTACACTGAAAAAAATTTTTGGTTGAAAATGGACGAATCAGAAATTTCTGGTTAAATTTATTAGAATTCTAGTTGAGATAACCGGAATTCTGGTTGATACTATATTTCTGGTAAAATCTACTAGAATTCTTATTTTTACCAGAATAATTATATTAATCAGAATTCTAGTTATCTTAATTAGAATTCTAATAGACATAACAAGAAAATTCTGATTCGTCCATTTTCCACCAGAATTACTGTTTAATCCAACCAGATAATTTTTCTCAGTGTAGGGACTTTTGCAAAATTTTCTGGAAAACTAAAATTCTTGGCTTCAAAGAAATTTGCGTACACACCTACGCAGTTTTGGAATCAAATTATCAACTTAATAATTAAAAGTGCAAGTAGAGTTAGTAACATTAACAGTAATTTACGTGGCTATGTTAAATTGCTTTCTCAACGAAATATTTAACGGTTTCCAAATCATGACGAAAATATAAAAGAATTCGAAATATTATTGAAAGTCAGGGAGAATTATGAAATTTTGTCTGGAAAAATCGGGGAGAGAAAAGGTTGGCATTTTAGGGTGAGGAATTCGTGATAACTCTGTAATATTTCTTCTTCAACAGTAATTCTAGACTATATACTTTTTTTTGCAATAACAAGACGTTATTTTCGCATGCTGAAATAGTCGGGCGCAAGTGTCATGTCGTGCCGTTTATGCGTCATTATTCGCGCGGTAATAGCGCTTCCATGTACGTAAACACAGGGTCGCGGAGAGAGAACCGTGCGTGTACGAGCACCGTTACACGGCGTAGACAATCTTATCTAAATATTTGCATGTCATTGCGGGGATTTCAGTCCTCCCTCGTCTCAACCGTACGCGACGCGGTAATCTCTTATTTCGATTTTACCTGCGTTACATAATCGCATTCTCAGCTGCGCGCCGCTTTCTGCGAGCATACGCGTTGCTTCGACGCGAGAGAAGGCTAATTTAATTTACCCCCCGTCCGCGACGGGATCCCGTTGTGTCTGATTAACTCGCATTGTGACCGTTTTAATCCGTCTGAATACCGAGCCGAAATGAAGCGAACACAAAACTCTCGCGGAAAGTGTCGAAAAAACAAGAAATCTATCAATTTTATCGAGAAGAAGAAGAGAAAAAAGCTATTAAAATTTATCTGCAATAATAGAGTTCATATTTTTTGATTAAGTGTAGAGACTTTCCATAGCACGTTCTGCGTAGAAGTTTTTCTTTATTGTGCTCATACATTTTTATATACATTTTCCTGGAAAGATACGCAATGAGCGTATTAAAGTATTTCTCTTGCACTGATATTCGTTTACACAAATTATTAATTGATCAGTACTTATTATGTACGAGAAAAGTATGTTAAAATAAATGATTTAATTAAGATGAAAAATATCATCTTAATTAAAATGTTTCTCTTCTATCGCTTACACAAGTTATTAATTTTTTTGATAATCATTATATGGAAACTGAATATATATTCGGGATGTCCCGAACTTTTTTGTCAATCACTTTTTTAAAGATAGAGCGAACTAAACTGAGTCGAACAGTCCTCTATCATTTTGCAATTTTCACAGTAGTTAACTAGATATTAATTACTAAAAATTGCCAAATATTGGTCTTGAATAATTTTTTACTCAAATACTATGAACTTTATAGAAAAGCTGCAAGAGACAAAAATTATTTATTTTCTTTTCATAAAGTTCTGAGAATTTTTTCAGAATTTTTTATCAACTTTTTAGTACTGCATTTTCCTATTTTTACCAACATGAGAAAATACGGTATTAAAAATTTCTGAAAAAATTCTGAAAAAATTGTTAAAAAATTCTGAAAAAATTCTCAGAACTTTATGAGAAGAAAATAAATTATTTTTGTCTGTTGCAGCTTTTCTGTAAGGTTCATAGTATTTGAGTAAAAAAGTATTCAAGACCAACATTTGGCAATTTTTACTAAAAATTGCCAAATCTTGGTCTCGAATAATTTTTTACTTAAAATATTACTAAAAATAATAATAAAAATTAAAAAAATAATAAAAATATTACTAAAAATATTACCAAAAATTTTTTAGTAATTAATATCTTGTTAAATATGTTAAAGCAATATGATGTTAATACAATAAAATAATAACTCTTATGCATTATATATATGTATATAATGCACAGAGAAAAAGGTTTCCTTGGGTTTTAGTATTCCTATTTATTTGATTAAAATTTGTTTTATTGAAACAACATATGCTTGTACGAAATATTATTTGTTTGAATAAAAATTTTGTTGTTTCATTTGAGAAATCTCTATTGCTTGACAGAAATAGCATTATTATTTGAAGTAATATCTTTTAATTAAATAATATATTATTTGGTTACAATGAATACAAACAATGAAACAAATTGTTTATTTACAAATGGCAAAATATATTCATAGAGGTTAGGTTATTCCATGCAAATAATTGCTTTCTTGGAATAGTCATTACATTTTTTGACCGAAAATATGGAAACAATGGCTTGTACGTCTAACGACAGAATTAAACGAGCAGTGCTATGTGCTACATCGATTATGTTTGTGCCGTACAGTTAATCACGCGAATACTGAAGATAGATATTATCTGTTCAAACAAATAATGTATTAAGACAAAGATATATATTGTTTCAAATTCAAACAATCACACTTATTGATTCAAACATTGATTTGTTTGGACCATTCCAAATAACAAATTTATTTGGATACAATAAAATTTATTACATCCAAAGAAACTTTTTTCTCTGAGTGTATACACATATAATATGTAAATAAAATTTGTAATTACACATAATCCAATATATACATATAAATAATGTCACGAGAATTATTGTACATAGAATATATTGACTAACGTTAACATATACATTTTACTTGCGTGATATTGTTTTAAAATTAATATATATATTTCATCACTTTTTTATAGAGCATTCGTAATGTATTAACTATTTATGACAATGTAAACAATTTGTTGTATTAATTTGTTGTTTGATTAGCGTGTTATTTAAAGTTTCAGTAAAATTCTGCAGTTGAGTTTTCATACGACATGATTGACGGATAGTTTTGCACTTGTTAGTAGCAATCTTCACCAGTGCAGTAAGAATCACTTTCAGAATAATAGGACCGTGACGATATACGTTCTTAAAACACAACAAGAACAAATTTATTTATAGAAAAGAAATATATATCAACATCTATGTAAGTTAATGATTATTTAAGTAATCATACTATCTTAATAATGTTAAAAATAATATTCAATAATAGTTAGTAATATTGTGTTTTATAATTAATGGCTGCGTTCAGCAGAGAAAGCAACTTTGCAATTGTTGTAAAATTCTTTAATATGATTAGCTTATACATTTAGAGTGAGAGACTAAGGGAAAGACCAATTATATTACAGAATTTTACAGCAGTTGCGAAGCTGCTTTATCTACTCAACAGAGTCAATAAGTAAATTTCGAGATAGATTGTGGTACTTAAACTCGCATTTAGAGCTTTTAATGGTAAAACAAATAATTCAATATATCGTGTAAGTAATAGAATAGAATTATACACAAAGAGCAAAAATAAATGAAAAGAAGATGTATCATTACAAAAAAGTAGCTATGTATATCGCTACATCATTCATAAAAATTTGATAAATTCAAGGCAGTCTTTTGACGTACTTTCAGAACATACTTCTGCTGTTTGCTTCGAATTCTTTTCATTTCTAACTTTCATCATTACCTTCACCGATTACTGAAGACAGTTCCGACGTTTTCGGTTTTGTTGAAGTTTTCACTCCTCTGGATCTGCTTTTCAACTTTTTTCTCTTTATAATTATGCGCTTTTCGCAGTCTGTATAATCCGAATTGCACTCATAGTTATTAGATGAATCAGTAAACCAATGTTTCATAACGGTTTCTATTAAAATAAAATTTATACGATAGAAAAATGTGTATATGACAATCAAATAATGTAAAAATAGTTAAAGTAAACCAGTAAAAATAAATTAGTCTTAAGCTACTCCGAATTGGAGTATTTAAATTTATGTTTAATTTTCGAAAGTAAAGCAAATAGTCAAAAATCTATCGAGTGACAGCCACGATCAAAGTTTAATGTTATAATAATAAAGTGTAGATTTAAGTAGATAACTGAAATTTGTAACATACTTGCAGAAACTTTTGTAGCTGCGTTCTTTGAAACTTTCTTATTCTTGCGCAATTTCAGAGTTTTCACAATTTTCGTTGTTTTTAGTTTTTTCAAATTCCTCGTTGACGTCTTCTTTTTGGTTTTTGATTTTTGGTCTTTAGTTGTTTGTAGTTTGAAGTTATGTTTTATATAGTTTGACTGGCGATTACAACTGCCGGAAGATTCGGGGTAGCTGCTTTCCAAGGCTTTTTCTATTATATATATAAAAATAATATATAATAGTATTTATAGTATTATTAGTATTAGTTTAATTAGAAATAATCTTTCTAATTGAATGCAATGCTCTTATTTTAATAAAGCAGGTATTTGTTATATTAACACTGTTATTGAATTAATAAAATTATTTATAATTAGATCTAATACTGTTAATACACGATCATTTTTTTCCATGTATAACGAAATAATTAGATCAATTAGTTTTTTAATATTGAAATTAAATTAATTTAAATTAAATTAAATTGTTATTAAATTAATATGTTATTAAATTAAATCTTCTAATTGAATTTAATTACTCATATTTAGTCAATTAAATTAAAATCATTTAAGTTAAAGTTGCATAATCACGGATGGTGTCATAATAAGAAAGTATAAAAAGTAAAAATTTTGAATTATTGTTCAAGTTTATGGTGTGAATGTACGTACTTTTGAGAAGTTTTGTCTTTTTGTTCCTTAATATATTTATAGCGCTAAATGGTTTTGCAGTTCTTCGACTTTTCTCGGACAACAAAGGTCTGAAACTACTCGAAGGCTTTATATAGAATCTCTTGTCTTTATTTTTCAGCTTGCTCTTGTTTTTAGTTGTATACGTATAGAGTCCGTAGTCGCAATCCGTGCAACCTGAACTGCAACAACAATTGTCGGAAGAATATGGGCAGTAATCCTTCAAGAGTTCGTCTGTTGAAAACAAATTTTTATAAACGAAATACTGAATGTGAAGTAATTCTCGACGAATTAATGGATCTTTCAAATCGGCTAAATTCACGTTTGATTCTCTAAAGCGAAGCGAACAATAAAACAATTTCCGTCCAGAATAATAGAATTATAATTACGGATGGTATATGGAAAAAACAGTTTTCCCAGAGTATCTAAAAATTTAGTTAGATATAAATCTAGATAATTTTCTTTGGACTATCAAATAATTATATGAAACGCTCAAGCATAATGAACACAGAGCAATGTTGCAACAAATTTTGACGTTCTGGAAACCATTGTTTGCTATCTTACATTATTATTTTGATGGTTCAGCAAAATTATTTTCAGATCTGTATCTAACTAAACTTTTTTTAGAGATACTCCGGCAAAACTGTTCTTTCCGTATCATTTTGATCTAGGATGTATGATCTGAATTATCAAAATAATTGTATAAAATGCTCAAGCAAGTTGCAAAAAGTTTTGGTCTTCCAATAACTATCTTGAGAGTGTCCCACATATTAATATTAATAGTCCAATAAAGTTATTTTCAGATCTGCAACCATCTAAATTTTAAATACTTTAAAACTGATCTTTTCGTATATATAAGTACAACGATTGAAAATTGAGGTTGCTAGGCTTTACAATGCAAATTTAAAACGTACTTTCAGGTTTTGCCTTTTGGGTTTTCTTTGATGAAGCTTTGTTGGTTTTAAGTGATTTCGTATTTTTCATATTTGGCAAAAATGTAAAGGAAGGCTTCGGCACGGGAGATCTTTTCACACGTTTTTTCTTCTCGGATTGTGTCCTGATTTCTGAATGTTCATAATCATAGTCCGTGCAATTGGAACTGCAACTGGCGAAAAAAAGGGACGAGTCGGTTGTCGGTTCCATTTTTCAACGTAGAATGTAAGAACATTCCCGGCGAGTTGCAACAAACTGCTCCGGATAATTTTCAGATGATTTCCAATCCTCTCTATGTTATAGTTGCGAAAGGGTGAGCCTTAGAATTCTGCAGCAAAAAGGAAACTTACATGTTGATTACTTTTGTGCATACAGAAAAAACCAAGTTTGCCGAAGTATTTACAAATTTAGCTATAAGATATAATGATTTGAAGATATAACTTAGTTGGACTTGATCAAAATAATTACGTAGGAAATCTTAAGCATAACAAGCAATGCTACATTCTCTAAATCTGAATCAGTGACTAATCACTGATATCAGTGCCAAGTATGCCACTGGTAATCGGTGAATTAAATGTGAGATCCCTAACCTAGCTAATCTTTATCGTGTGATCTAACGAATCTTGTTTTAGTGCTTAAATTCAATGAATATTGGAAGATTGAAATTAACGTACAAATATCAGTATTTTAGTTATATAATCAATATTTTAGTTATATGCTCAAACATTCTTCTTCTTTTAGTTGAACTTCACTGATTATCAGTGCAAAGTATGCCACTGGGTAATTAATTACCTACTATTCAGATTTAGAGAGCAAAAAGTTTAACATTTTAGCAATCGGTCTTACATAATTATTTTGATAATTCAACAAAATTATTTTCAAATCTGTATCCAGTTAAATTTTCAGATACTTCAGCAAAATCGTTCTTTCTATACAGATTTGAAGTAACGACATAAGTCGAGGTACAAAATGGTCTCTTTGATTTCAAAATATTTTATAATGTTCTTGCTTTATTACGGAATAATATATACATATAATTTTTAAGAATAACCATCGAAAGAAATTGAAATCGTCAAATTACAGATAAACTTTTATCTGCGACTACACAAACAAATAGTCAAAATATATATTTTTGACTGATAATATATATGCGTTTCAATAAAAAAAAACATGTGTTTATAAACTGAAAACCTTTTAAAGAGAATATGCCATTGAATCAGTCGATGAAAGGAATTTGCTTTAAAATAAACAAGACGTAGCATTCGTTAAAAGCTTAAAAGTAATTTTTATCACTTGAAGTGACAAATGATCGAAGTAACTGTTAATATTAATCGTTTAATAATAACGTGTGTTCCTTAAGTATTAAAGAAGAAAAAGAATTGTTTTATTAAAAATAATGAAAACAATTAATTGAAAATAATTTTGATACATTTTAATAAATAAATTACTTAAATCTTAAGCAATAATAAAATATCGATCTAAAATGAGTTTAACACGAAGTAAAGATAAAGAAAACAAACGTGGTTACACGAAAACAAAATACACTCGTACCTCGCGAAGAGTAAACTTTCTGATTTATTGAGCCAATGTGTAGCACAATTTATCCGCAATATATCAAGTCTTTGATCGTTTCACGAATACTGAAACTCTGTGACAAGCAAATAAATGTTATCGCAACTGAATCGAGCGAAGCGGAATGATTTAGACAGACGTCAGCGAAGACAGCACACTAGCACGGCAACACTCGATCTCACAGTGATTCGAACATTCGATCCTCGTGTTTCTTACATACATTTGGCGTCCTCACCTTTCGACATGGTATATTTACAGAGGATATGTATCGTGTGTCGCGCGCGCATGACAGAAACTAATGACGTTTTCCTATAAGCTTTTAAGTTGGCATTTCAAGCTTTCGACGATCTATGCGATTCGTGTCGGAATTCGGGATTTCGTTCTATTTATAATTTTATGTGCCATATAATTCGTAAACCGATCGCAGAATCAGAATGCACTGATTGCGAGAGAAAAAATTGGAATTACCATAGTTTAATTATATATTTTGTAGTCATTTTCGGTGTCAATTATTTTTTTATAGAATTATAAATATAATTATTTTTATTACTAATAATAGGGAATTGAAGTAGCTATAAAAGTAACGGCGAAATTCCTTGTACTGTTGAATTTATAATGTCAAAGTGTTACAAAAATGTAATACTTAATACTGGTTAATGTACTATTGAAAAACAGTAATCAATTATTTATTTGGAACACTAAAAGTAAGCAATGGTACTTTCAATACTTAAATTAATTACTGCTTTTCAAGATTGACAGTACTAGATTTCTGTAAACATAGAATTATTTTTAATTTCTATAGGTAATTTTTATAGAACGCCACTATTATTGTAATCAATATGTCATTAACTTAACTAAAACAACAAACAATTTAATTCAAGAAATATATTTTTTACTCAAATTTCGTTTATCATTTATTAAGTACATATATTAATATGAACGTTGTTTACTTTGAAACTAACACTGAAATGGATTGATTTACATTATGACATGGAAGTTAAAACATTATTTGTTTAACTCGAGGAATTGGATTATCAGGATTACTCCTTTAACAGTATACTGTAAAAACGTAACAATTTTACAAATAGAAAAAAGTAACAGCGTTACTTACTTCCCAATCCTGCCTTTTTCTTAGAACGAGATAAAGATAAAAGTAAGTTAAACAGAGATTAGAGTTAATCGACATTGGTAGAGATGGACATTAGACTAGGGCTTTATTGTTCGTGTTCGGAAAAGAGTATCATATTCAATGTGGATGTATACATTGAACGAAAGATCCATATAACGATTCTAGTTTGATAATTCGCTGCTCGTTGGCTAAGAGCCACACATTACGTCGATAATATCGTGATAGCGCCGCGAAATAGAAATAATAATATCGTGATCGCAAACGCGACGGGTATAATGTGTGCGCAATACGCGGAGTTATGCCATATTACGGATCATTATGCAACGCGCGCGTATTGACGCAATTCAGATCCGATCGCAAGCACGAACCGATCCATGGGAAATCTTGAATTACATGTTTTATATATCGGCCACCGCGCCGCCGCCGCCACCGTCGCCGTTGCTATTGAGGGAATTGAAAGGGCCGTCGTGACTGCGATTACGTTAATTTCTTCGCTTATGATAATAGCACAGGGCGGCCTTGTGCTCGTAAATTTTCGTTTCATAACCGAAGGAATTATATATTGACACGGTTGGCGAGTCCAGCGTGCCGCGCCACGAAACGGCTAGATTTACATTTTGTTATGGCGCCACGTCTAACGTACATGGTGTCGGATAATCGAACGCGGAGAATTACTGTGACGAGTGCTGGTTTTTCAAGAAACGCGAAGAAATTGGTAATGGTTTCTAAGACGCACGAAAACAAAGCTATTTTTACGATTTTTTTTTTTAACTAGGGTAACTGTCCCTATTAATGTGCCTTTTAGCCAACTTGTTTATTACTGAATTAATTATATTAAATATTGTAACTTTAATTTTATCTGCTTGCAATCAATATCGGTTTTTCAATTATTTCTTTTTCTTATAATATTTCTTTAATCTAAAAAATGTTAATACTTTATAATGTTTTTGACAAAAATAAAAAACATGTTTTTGTTCCTATTATATAGTGAGTTCTCCAAGTGGCGATGGCCATATTAATGTGCCCCAAATTTGTGTCCCTCCACATTTAACTCATTTTAACTTTTTACTTATTAAAACAGGTAATAAATTTAAGCTAATTGTTTAAGTTAATATTATATAAATTATTATTTCAATTATATATATTTATTTCAATGTACACTCATAACACAACGTTCTCAGCTCCAGTATAGGACACATTAATAGGGACAAGCTTAAAATCTTGTGGTACGTATTACTGGATTCACATAAATTCCTCATATCTTTTGAAAAATATTTAAAATACTTTAATATTCAAAAAATAAAATATTATCTTCGGTATCGTATGCATGAATAATTTAACTTAACAAGAAAAAAAATTTTTTTTTATTTATCCGTGCTTTTCTTTATGTAGTTTTCTTTATGACTTATCGAAATACAAAAGCACACTAATTGGGACAGTTATCCTATACGACGAAAGGAGATTTCGAGTTTTATACGTTTATTTTATGTATCTTCAACAACGTGTGAAATGAAAACTATTAATAAATGATAATTTGTTCAAAAGATATAAAATGACGAGGGCGCAAAAAAACTTGTTCTTTTGAACGAGCGGAAATAAATTTAAATTTTATTTATTAATGATGTAGATAAGTAATGAGCCTTGGATTTTATGGAAAAATTGAAAACTGACAAAATGGCATTGCGCATTGGTTTAAAATTATTATTATATTAGTGTATTTCGTAAAAAAAATCAGTTTTTATTACATTAAAAGACAAAAAGAAGTTAATTGATTCAATAGTTTTTGAGATATCATGTTTTAAAAATCTGCAGATTTTTAAAACACTATTTGAGAAAAACGCATTTAAAGTTTTACATTCATATTTTTCAATAATTTTTATTTTACACGTTGTTGAAGATATACATAGAATAAATGTACAAAACTTGAAGTCAATCCGTCGCGTAGTTTTTTCAAAAAATTCAAAAAGATAATCTCGCTTTTGCGAGTCGGAAAGAGGAAAGGTCGCTTATCTTAATTTTCCTGCATGAAAAGAACGATTTTAAAGTATCTAAAAATTTAATTAGATCTGAAAATAATTTTGTTGGACTGTTAAAAATAATTATAGAATAGTAGAATTGAAACATGGTATAATTCTGCAAGAAGTTTTGATATTTTAGGAATCATCTTAAGTGTCCTACATAATGATTTTGATTGTTTAAAATTGTTCTCAGACGTATTTACTTAAATTTTTAGATATTTCAGTAAAGTTGCGTTCTTTCCGTGAACTTTTCAAAATTTATTCGAGAGATAATTAATCTGTGGATAGAGAAGCTAATCAATCTTAATTTTCAGAATCTAATTTTCTTTTGAAAAAAGGGATTAATTGATTTTAATTCTAATAATGAAATGTCAAAAATTGGTCTCATTTTCTGGGAATTTGCTCTCTGCTTTCGATTGGATGAAATCTCTCCGATAACATTTTGTATACTTGACGTTCCAAAAGCATACCCTTCGAACGCTGTTCAAGAAATACGATTTTAAAAGCATGTGCCCTCGAACTCTCTCTCTTCGAGAAACACGATTTCAAAACCGTACCTCTCGAACGCTGTTCAGGGAATACGATTCCAAAAGCATACCCTTCGAACGCTATGCTGAAAATGCGATTTTACCCTGTAGTCGCGAACACGAGGGTGGCGAATGTTTACGATGCCTCCTGGGGTATAGAATTGCGTGACTCAGCGGCAACTAGAGGGATGACGTAAGAAAATGGGAATTTCGTGGTCTTCCAGGAAGGGTGGTAAGAAACTCGAGCCTCTATCTCTAAATCTTTTTCCAGTCTTTTATCATATCTTCTATTTTTAATTCTCTATTTACATATGCGTGTTAGAGAAGAAAGGAAGCTAAATCATTCTTAAAATTGAGCAGCACGATGACCTTTTCGAGTCGAACGATTGTTTTTAATCCTCGAATGTCTTTGTCCATCTATTAAATATGGAAATCTTTTTTTTTTTTTTCAAGATGTTGATCTGTACTTACACCTCACTTTCATTGAGCGCATTTTATATCTTGAAATTGTGTTATATATTTGTTGAAGCTGAAGAAAATGTGATAGAGAATAGCATTTTGAGAGACGAGGCATCAACATGATACTTACAAGCCTAGACTAAATAAAACAATAAAATAGTAATAAAAATAATATGATAAATTATGAGCCAAGATCTTTAACATAATTAATATAAAACAATAAAATAGTAACAAAAATAATACGGTAAGTTACCAGATTTTTAACATAATTAATATTGAACACAATGAAATAACAATAATAATATGATAAATTATACGTGGAAATGCAACATTTTGAATCGAAGCCACGGATTTTCATGCGATGCGTTTAACAGAATTACTCGTGACTCAGCTGCAATAAATTAATTTATTATTCTAAAGATTTCATATTACAATAAAAGTTGATTCTGTTGAAAAATAAAAATGGTTATTTTATTTTATCACCTTATAATTATATGAAGCGTTTGAATAAATTTGGAAAATTGGATAAAAAGGCAGTGAAACCTCAACAAGATTTGGAGATTAACATCTCGAACAGTTCGTCGAACGAGATTGTAAGGTGAATTACAGACGGGAGAGCCGAGGTGCGGCTGTGCCAGCCGTGAATTCTCGTTCTCGCAATTCCCGACGGGAATCACGAGGGGACGAGGTGATTGTATGGCACTTTTCCACCTATACAAGCGACAAAAGTGCGCACCCGTTACGGTTCGTGACGGGACGCTTGTCGTGACTGTCGTGCTTACGCAACTCCGGGTTCCAGACTCGATTTAAGCGCCGGAATGTCCATCGCGATATCCCAGAGACGTCAGCCTCCATTCATGCGTTTTCTCGTCCGTCATCCACAGACCAAGCCGCCATCCCGCATTGTCCGTGTCGATTCTCGACGATCCCCCGTCGGATTCGACGGTGATGAGTCGCGTGTCTCGTGTCAAAAATCGTGGCGAGTTTTAATTAATCTCTTTTACCGCGATATCAACACAAAAAGAACTTGT